GCGGAAGCTTGAGCCAAAACGGCTGCGGAGGAGGGGCGAGGAGATGGGGGAGGCGGAGGAAGAGGAAGAGCAGGGGGCGCGCAAATTGAATCCAGAAACGCGCCAGAAGCTGCTAGTGCTGGCCGCGATGTGATCAGAATACCTTGAGCTGCTCCTGAACGCGCGACCCCAGGGGTCCCCTGGGGTCCTGAGATGCCTCCTCGAGCGTGCTCCCCTGGGGTCTCCAAAGGTGTCCCTGGATGCCCGAACACAGCTCCGAGTGGCTTTCGAGACGGCACACCCCCAGTGGCCTTCGAGACTGCACCAGAGGGGGGGGGGGCGTCCGAGGTGCCCACAAAAACTATTGCAGCACACGGTGCACTGAATTTTCTGTGGGAGGTCCGCGCGGACTTTCTTGGATTGGCGCTGGACCCCCCTGGCAGAGCCTCCAGCGCCGCCCCAAGCGCGCCAGAAGCGCGACCGAGACGGGGGTCCAGCACAGATCCAAAAATTCAGCGCGGACGCATGCCGTTTTGTTCTTCGACGATGGCACCAGGACGGCCTCAGCCTCGGCCTCCTCCTCCTCCTCCTCCTCCTGCTCCTGCTGCTCCTCCTCCTCCTCCTCCTCCTCCTCCTCCTCCTCCTCCTCCTCCTCCTCCTCCTCCTCCTCCTCCTCCTCCTCCTGCGCCTCCTGCGCCTCCTCCTCCTCCTCCTCCTCCTCCTCCTGGGCACAGCCTGGGGCGCCACAGAGTCTATGGCACCTCAGCAAGACCTCAAGCGTGGCTAGGGGCGCACCTTACAACCGCCATTAGCCACGCCCATCGGACATCAGGCAAGAGATTAGGGCTCTGGGAGCAGGCGATAGCCTGCATACCTCTGAACCCTCTTAGCCAAACAGTACTCTCCCCGTCGCAATCGATCGAGGACAAGGCGACGATCCTTCGAAAGACGACGGGGCAAGCACTCACTCGCAAGAGACACCACACGCTGGGAGGTGCATGCAGCGCAGTGAGTGCAACAGAAAATCTGGGTTTCACCCACAAAAAAGGACGCCACCCGATGATGCTTGGACCCAGCGGCTTTAAGAGACGCCTAAGACTGCTGGATCCTTTGCTCTAGGGTGGGGGGCTCTGGCTTGACAATAATTAGGGAGGGGGCTGAACGCGCAGAACGCTGACGGTGCAGACAGTCAACAGAAGCTATGGCCTCACCCGCCCTGGCGGCCCATTTCCCCGTAAGACTGACCATCATCCTCTGCATCTTAATAAGCTTCAGAAACTGGGGATAGGGCCGCAGGTCACGAGCACGACTTTTCGCAGCACCGTCAGCGGCATCATTTCCAAGTTTATCCCGAAGCTTGTACCTCCCCTCCGCTACCATGGTGTCGGTCACGTGGGCTTTCACTTTTTTGACCTCAGGGGGGGTTCCCCCCCAATCGTCGATTTTGTGCCAAACTTGCTTCCAAAGACAGGCCCAGGCCGCCGACGACGACGTGGTGTCGGCTGGTCCGCGGATGTTGTAGCCTTTCCACACGAAATCGGAATCCGTGTGCATGACTACTGGTGGCACAGCAAACCTGAGCGCTGCTAGCAGGGCGTAAAGTTCAGCACCGTCTATGTCCTGCAGCGGGAAAGGCAGAAGACCAGTGATGGTGCAGACAGCCGTGTCGCTGTCGGCGGCCAACGCGACGACTGCCCAGGCAGCTACCCCGCGATGTGGATAATCAATAAACAAGGACCCATCAAGATACAGATCCCCTGTGAGCTGATGCGCATCCCCGTACCATTGCACACAAGGCTCCAACGGCATCTGCAACACCGCCTGAGGGGCCTTGGGGAGAGGGACAAGCACTCGCTCCAGCATCAGGCGCACCAGGTCATTCTGGTCCGCATGCGGGAGCATGAGTCTGATTGCATCGGGGAGTGGCTCTCCTATTGCCTCAAGCATGCTCTTACACACGGCGTGCCGGTGCACGAGGGTACCAGGGGCCACTTGGCATGCAAGGCAATTCGGGGAGTCAATCCAACCTTGTTGAAATTGCCGATCTTGGGGCCACTGAGCTCCAATGATAACACTCCTGAGGTACCCACGCTGCTGCCAAGTGAGGTCCCCCTTGGCGCTCAGGAGGTACTTCAGAGGCCCATCCCAAAAACCAGTCCAGAACTCAGGCATCTGAAGGTGCTCCGAAATCTGCAGGTTGACCCAGTGGCGCACCGCATGCGCACAACAGTGAAGGAGGACCCTGGGGCAGATGTCGGTGAGTTTCAGCTCCAGACCATCCGGCAACTTCCAGACCAGGGGCTCGACGACGACGATCCCGACTCTGGTGAGCGTAGCATACAAGGCTCCAAAGGGACCCCGAACCTGCGGCCACATTTGGTCTTTCCCAGAAAGCGCCAATTTAGCAGCCCCAAGGCCATGCTCTAGGACATGACGTGGCACACGCGACGCCCAAAGGACAGAGCTAAAGGCTTTGATAGGCTCCAGCGTAGCCCTCCAGATCGGGTCGTAGTTAACCTGCGGCGCGAGCGC